ATATTAACTTCTTCAAGAACATTTTTATATCTATATATATCTTGATATCTAAAACATTTCTTTTGTTTCCCCTTTATTTCAGGAAAGCAAATAAAAAAGTTTCTCGAGTAGATTTCGAAAAGTGTAGGCCAAAATTGTCGAGATGTCAAAAGACGAAATGTCCATCAGACATGGACCCAGTGTGTGGCACAGATGCGAAAACATATACTAACCCTTGTCAGCTCAGTATCGCGACTTGTCTCAAAGGGGTTCAAATGGCTCATATTGGAAATTGTACGACCCTTAAACGATCACAATCTTGCCCTTCAGATTGTGATAACGAAACCAAAGAACCAGTGTGCGGATCGGATGGAAATGTTTACAAGTAAGTCAAAAATGTTTATGATTCTGTCTGGTTATCATTTACCATAATTTGTTACATCTTAATAAGTGTAATAATAGACGCAGAATCGAAATCGTCGGTAAAATTAACTTATTGTTTTATTAATTTTTTAAACACAACATAACGGAAAATCCTTTCAATTAGACTTGAATAGAAAATATTTTATAATCTTTTTCATTTTTAACACAATAGCAAACTTAACGTATTTTAATATTAAGCATATATGTAGTCCATTACACTTTTAAACAACTACCCTTAAATTTCCAATAACAATCTCATGGTCCTGTCGGATTTCAAGTACTATATGAAATGAAGCATTTCATAAAAATAACCTAAATCTCCGAACAAACAGAAAAGCGCTCCTGAAATTTCTACTACTTAAACAATTATCTGGAAACATCAAAAGGGTGAAATATACGTAAAAATGTATGCAGAATCTCGTGATGCTATCGGATTTTTAGTGCGTCATTAAATAAAGCAGATTGTAATACGATTTCATAAAAATGTCAAAAATTCGTAAAGGGAAAAGCGGTCCCGAAATTCCGACCAAATAATCAATTATTTGAAACCATCGAAAGGGTGAAATATACGTAAAAATGTATGCAGAATCTCATGATGCCCTCGGGTTTTTAATGCGTCATTAAATAAAGCAGATAGTAATACCATTTCATAAAAATGACAAAAATTAGTAATTGGAAAAGCGCTCCTGAAAGTCCGACAACTTAAACAATTATTTTGAGGCACCCAGTGCTTGAAATATACACAAAAATGAATGCAGAATCTCATGATGCTATCAGATTTTGATTGCGATATAAATTTAAGGAGATAATATTGGCGTTGGCAAAAAATACCTAAAACTTTGTAAAAAAAGAATGCGCACCTGAAATTTCTGCCGCTTAAACAATTATTTCGAAACATCCAATTGGCGGAAAATACGTAGAAATGCATGTAGAATCTCATGATACAATCGAATTTTAAGTGCGGTATGAATTTAACCAAATAATATTACTATTTTACCAAAAATATCGAAAATTGATGAATCAAAAACGCGCTTTTGAAATTTCAACCATTTAAAAAGTAACTTAATTGAAATCAAAAATAATAAATAATAAACGTAAACAATGATCACTTCTTTTGTTTTTTAGATCTCTATGTGACCTCAAGAAACAAACGTGCGATCAGTTTGTAACGGAAGTTCCGCTTCATCACTGTAAGACAACTGCCTCATGTAACATTACGTGCACCGACGAAAAGCAATTTGTTTGTGGCTCGGACAATAAATTCTACAAAAATGAATGCGAAATGAAGCGAGAAAATTGCGGGTAAGTTCGAAAGCTTCGCTCGGTTAGGTTGGGTTGAGTTATTATTACCAAAAATATTTGTTTCAGAAAACACGTTTATGTTGTGCCAATAAAACGTTGTTTGGCCGGTTTCATGTTCAAAGGATGCCAAAAAATCTGCCCGACTTACTACGATCCCGTCTGTGGATCGGATAACAAAACCTACAGCAACCTTTGTTTTTTGGAAATCGAAATATGCCGATCGAAGAACACCGTGTCGCTACAGTCCATGGGAACGTGCACGGAACCAATAAAAGAAATGCCCAAAAACTATTTGTACTGATGATTAGTTGAATTGATTAGCCGAGTGTTTCTATTTTTATTATTTTTTTTTTGTTACACTTTCGATCTAGCCAAAACGAAAAAACAACAAAAACCACTCAGTCTAACTTACTAATTTATTTATTTTATTTTATTTTTGTCTATTCGTGTGCCAATTGCAGCTTGAAACCACGTATCTTAATGTAATACACTANAGTCATGTAATTTAATAAGCGAGCTGTGTATTTATACTTTACCGAAACGATCTATATTGTTTTAGAGTAGTAATAAATAATTAAAAGATCCTTCTCGTGTTTTCATTTAATTAAATATACAATTTAAAATAAACACTCTGTATAGCATAAATCTTACGTCAGAAGGCCGATCGCAAACTCAAAACAGGAGAAAGAAAAGAAGAGAACGCATAACCTTACATCAAACGTCACGCCATAACCTTAGATTTTAAGTGAAATTAACAACAAAAATGCTTAAAAAATGTATCACAAATTTAGTCAATTTAAGTTCTCATAGCTCATTAGCACATTACTTAAGATATATATCAACAACATCGTCTTTCAGAAGAGAAGTGACTGATCGTAGAGAAATGTTAAAATCTCTTCCTTCAAAGGAAGAAGGAACTGTAGGAGAAAAGGCAATTGATATAGATTCTATTATTCAAAGGTAAGTTGCCTGAACTGTTACATTGTGTCCTGCAGTATTTATTGTTTGTAGAAAGGAAAATGTATTTCCTGACATTGACACACCAAATAAGCTTTTCAATGGTACACCCTTCAAAGAACTTCCTATTTTTCATATTAGAGTCTCAAAAAATAATACAATTTTAGCCCTAACAGATCATAAAGGTAAATATAGGTAAATACAAAGTTTCAATGAATTACTGTTTGTTACATTGTAGGTAGTACTAAACTAATAAGATCTTGTGGTATAGAAGGTTTTAAGAATGCCAAAAAAGGCACAAACATAGCAGCCCAAACAACTGCAATAACTGTAGGAACTGTAAGTGGTATTACACTAATATATAATTTGATTATAAGTTATAATAATCAATTACACTTTTTTTTAAGAAAGCCATCGAAAATGGAGTAAAAACTGTAAGAGTAACAGTTAGTGGACTTGGACCAGGAAGAATGGTAAGAATATTTGTCTAATTTAATCAGTTAATATATTTGCAAGCAAAATGGGTATTTAAGTTTTAATTTTAGTCTTCAATAAAGGGGCTTCAGATGTCTGGTATAAATATTGTATCAATAACTGATACAACCCCTGTTTCTTGGAATCCACCACGACCAAGAAAGCAAAGGAAACTTTAAATTTTACTTATAATAGTATTATTAAATTTACTTATTCAAAGAGTAACTTAATTGTAGTTTTATAATAAAAATAAGTTAATTAAACAAGATTTCGTGTTGTATTTTAATTAAAGTGGGTAATGAGATTTAGAAAATGATAATTATTTGATGGAGGCAAAGATAATAAGCATATATGTTAAATAATAACCCCATTAGATAATAACGTTATTGAGAGTTATTTCCTACTTTTCGCTGAGTTAAAAAGGAAGCAATTAATTGAGGGACTTTATACTTGTACATATATCGTTCCTCATTCTCTAACACGACCATACACTAGAAATTTTACTGTTAAACATACTTGAACACGTTTTCTTCTTAAAATGAGGGTAACCAGCTTAAAAAAATCTGGCTGAATTCATCCTTTTATAATTTAGGGTTTTCAATCAATGGGTTGTAAATCTATGGGAGTAAGTGAAAACGAAAGAAGAAGAATAATACCATTGGCATTTGTCAAAATAATCGTGTTATGGCCGGATATTTGACGTTTAATTTGTGTTTGTGCAAAATATTTAAATGATATGACCATGAATTAATAAAATGATAAGAAGAGAGCCAAAACCAATCTTCAGTTGCAATGTAAGTCTAATTTTTATTTCAAACCACAAGAATTCAGTCAATCTAAATGGGTGTACTGAAATTGGCATACCCAATTATTTAAATAATTTGTCTATTTTTCACTTTTTCGATACCCTTTTGGCGTTTTCTTCTTAATTTTAATGTATTCTTCGTATTTTACCACATGGAAATGTGTAGAAGTTGACGAAACGTCGAAGTACAGGTGCGTTTTACTTGATAAGGATAACCTTCTGATAAACTGTTAATAACACACAATGGCAAATGAGATACTTTTCTTTTATACTTTGTGATAAAATACAAATTATTCGTTGAAGAATTTTATTTAATTTACTTGTGGTTTAGATTTTTAATTAACTTTTTAACATAACCTCAATATATTATTATTTGATACCAAACTTTTATGCCTTTAGTTGCAATAACCTTTTTAATTAAAACTTGACATTTTATATTATACATGTACTAGACAAATTGTTCAAATGCCCCCCTCCCCCTATTAATACCATTAATTTTACATTATAAATTACTAAACATACACCTGTGGTAACCCCTTTTTTGTTCTATAAGGGGGCCGTTTTCCCTAGTTGCTTATCGATAATTAAAATATTAGTAATGTATTTAGATAACCCAAGAAGTCATACAAGAACAATAGTCTAGATTAAAGCAATTATAAAATAATTGGTCGTGTGACCTTTTTGGATTGGCGTGCTGATGCTATCAATTTAATGGTCACCTTTTGAAAGTGTGGAAATAAAAACAAAGTTTTATATGGCATTGTAAAAGTAACCGCCAATTTGCCACTCCACAAGTTCATACTTTTTTGCTTATTGTGCAATTTATAATCAATTTTAAATTTGCAATACAAACAAAACGTTACATGTACTTCATCATAGTATTTTATACATAGAAAAAAAGCATTCACAAAAATTTAAATATAAAGTTCTAGAATTACATAATTAAGTAATCAACCCCTACACGGGAAGTGGAATACAAGGGTTGCTCGACAAGTGATAACATTTCCTTTGATTAAAGCTATTCTATTGCGAATATTATGTTTGACGTTGTAAATTATTTTCTGTGTATCTTTTCAAAACGTTTCTTCTTCGCACTTTTGCGTGCTATAAATATTCTCGTTAATTCGTTAAATAAAGCACCCGGTAGCCATGTGTACACGCTTTTATTGCCGCTAACGGTACAGTGGCCGACAAAAAGCAATCGCCACATTAATTACCGCCATTTGTTCGGTAATTATTTGTAAAACATATGCCGTATCCATCATGTGCATACAATGCAATGTCGTCGCCATAAAATTGTCTTTGTTTTCCAACCAGGAATTGGCTTACTGTCATCGGAAGTTGGCGTGCACAAATACATGCCTGTGACAGGTGCGACAGGGTCGAAACTTCGACTTGCATATATGCCAGCATTTCCGTTATAGAAAAAAAAAAAAAAACAAAACGGGTAAAATAAATAGCTGTTATATAAGGGACATACGGAAATTTACAATAGAGTAGATTAAATGGTATTACTACCTGCTTTATTTTATGCCTCACCAAAAATCCGATAGTATCATGAGATTCTGCATAGTTTTCTACCTATTTTTCACCCATTGGATGGTTCAAAATAATTGTTTAAGTGGGCGAAATTTCAGGAGCGCTTTTTCGTTTTACGATTTTTATGTCATTTTTTACGAAATGCTACTATTATGTGTTTTATTTCATGACGCACTAAAAATCCGAGGGCATCATGAGATTCTGCATATATTTTTACGTATTTTTCACCCACTGGATGTTTCAAAGTAATTGTTTAAGTGGTCGAAATTTCAGGAGCGTTTTTTCGTTTTACGATTTTTATGTCATTTTTTGCGAAATGCTACTATTATGTGCTTTATTTCATGACGCACTAAAAATCCGAGGGCATCATGAGA